ACTTTATAATTATTTGATAAAGTCATGATTACTTAAAGCTAAAGATTGACTATTTAGTTTATTAAGGTGAGATGGATGGCAGATGAACATTAATTTTTTTCTAACTATTATGTTTAGGTATTGGTATATGTAGATCCAGTTAGGTTTAATACCTATTAGTAAAATCTAAAGCTAGAAAGATTAAATTACTGTGTTTATTGAGTTATCTATTTTTAATGGATGTAAAGTCTTGATGAGACACAGTTTTAGTGAGTCCTAGATTTCTTTTTTAGATTCTATATTAATTATTGCAGGGATGGAAATTGGTTTCAGTATGTAGTCGAGAAGTCATAGGAGTATGATCATTTAATAGGAATGATTAAATTTGATCTGAATCTTAGGTCTTAAGGTAATAAATGTGTTCATGGGATAGTGATTTGAAATAGTTCAGTATATTGAGTGCTTTGATTATCTTAGATAGAGGTAAGAGATACAATAAGGAATTTAGATGTAAAAGAATATGTTTATTTGATTTCTCTATTAGTGATAGGATGTGATTTGGTATGTTCTCCTAAGATCCATGGATGTTCAAGACATTGATAGGCAGTCATTCTATCTAAAGGATTATGGCAAATAGTATTTCTAACAAAATCATATGCCATTCTAGATGATAATAATAATTAATAATAGTGTTTACTCTGATAAATGATAAGGTTATGTTATATTAAAGTCTTATGATATGATTTTATAATAATCTTTTTTTGAGATTCCATCTTCCCATACAGGATGTTTATTTTGACACATCATTTAATAATAGATGATACCTAATGCAAATATATCAAGTGCTTATGTTTATTCTCCAGCATTAATAACCTCAGGAGCAATATAATAAGGAGTTCCAACTTATTAAGCTATGATTCCTCTACATACTATTTAATATCCTAATCCAAGATCAATTAATTTAACTAGATTATTATTACATATGAATATATTTTCTAGATACGTATAATAGTTATACCTGGTTTCAAATCTCTATGAATAATTCCTTTACGATGTAGAAATACTAATGCATTTAATACTTATTGCATTATATTTCTAACTTCATCATCATCCATATTCTTCTCTCTCAGTATTACATCTAAAGTCTAACCTGATAGTTTCTCCATTATTAAATAAATGTAATTATTTGCCTTTAAAACTCTATGAAATTTCACTATATTTGGATGAGAACACTCTTACAATAGACATGACTCGATCTCCTACTCAAAGTATGGAGTAACCTTAAATCTAAGCATTTCCTACTTTTATTGCTACTATCTTATCTAAATGGGAACTATATGCTGCAATCACTATTCCGAAACTTCCCTTCCCTAATATTTCCATAAAACAATAGTATTCACTCAATAAAATATCGTTTAAATCATCAATTAAACTTTTAGGATCCATTTTTATTAAATTGTTATAATATTTAATTATTATTATTTATTTATTTAATTCCCTATTTTTATATCCTATCAAATTATAATATCTCTCACTCAACAAAATTATATATATTAATATATCACTAATAAATCATCTCTTATTTCTACTTCTTATATAATCTCGATATCTTATTAATGCTTTCCTTACATCTTTAACGTTTGATTCTCCTATCTTTATTATCAAATCTTTTATCTATAATAATTCTTAATCATTTGAATCACCTAACCAAGATGAAATAACTAATCTATTCTCTTATTCTAATTGTTAAGAATGATTATCGATTATTATTGTCTTCTCTAATGGTCTACCTATTCTATTTAAATCCCATTTCAACATTGACCAATTTCTTAATTAAATGAATTCCATTATACATTGTATGATGTCTATATAATCTATAATCAATCAATTAATCACATTTTATTTATTATAGACAATTGTCTACATACTTTATAACTTTATTCATTATTACCTCCTCTTAACCTGTACTAAATATAATTATCTCACTATATACGGTCGACATATAAATCTATTTAATTATCAATTCTAAACCATATTACATTTATATAATACAAAATATCCTATTGTTTCATCCAAATCCATTATTATACATTACTTTTTCTTTAATGGTTATTTTATATATGGACAACCATCCAAATTTCTACCTGATTATGATTCTCCTTTATTTATTACTTTTAACCCTTTAAACAAAGTTTTCAATGGAGATTAATATTCTTATTTCTTTATCTCTTTTGTTGATAAATATATTGCATTTCTTAATTATGCTCTACTTACACTTATATCCAATATTATTAAATGCTATAATTAATATCTACATGTTATTATTATTGTTTTTATACCATCATTATCGTTCTATAATAACTTATTCATTATTGTCATTATAAAACTATTATTTCTTTTTAATTCTTATACTAAACTTATACATGGACTATTCCTCTCCAATATTGCATCAATCTTCACTCATACTTAATCAATCAATTAATTCCTTTACTTTGTATATTTTATCATCTAATTTAAAAATAAGGCAAAATTCTCTATTACCAACTTTATTAAAACACCCATTTCTTAATACTTATTCTATTTATTTTACAAAAGATTCTCTTTCATTTAACATTAAATAAATGAAAATACAATATCACTTAAAAATATACAGTCCCATAATATTTTCTATGTTTATAGACGAATAAAAAAATAAAAATATTATTCTTATCTAAATTCAAACACTGATTCCCAATATAACTAAAAATTTACCGACTCTGTTTTATTTTTTAAATTTTCAATTATTATTTTCATATTCTAAAGTTGAATTTAACCTGCCTTTATATCCAAACATTAATTGCTCTAGACAAAAGTATTTAACTATCAATATGGCCTTGTAAATGTAGATGAGTAGGCTCCTTTCATACGATCTGTCTATCTAGTTGTACTTCTTTTTTAACTTTCATTTTCTTATTCAATCGATCTTAAAGTTCTTCTAGCTGACAACAATGGAGTTTCAAGTAATTTTCTCTAATTTTATAATTCCCTGATCACATGGTATTCTCTATTACTTTTTTGAATCTCATCTATTATTTAATCTAATTAAACCAATAATAATTACTATTATACTTAATTGTAAAATATTCTAAGTCAAGTTTTCATTTACCTATTATTTCATCTGAACTTTTCCCAAAATTTGCTAACACTAAAGACTATTTCATTGATTGTTAATTTATATAATATATATATCAATAATTTATTATATTATTATTATTATTCATTTTCTATCGCATCAAATTATAATCTTTTTCTAAATCTCAAAACACATTACTTCTATGTTTTTATAGATTTTATTTCTTAATTTTCATGATGTTTAATTACATCTGTATATTTAGTAAAATATCCCTAGATTTAATTTTTTAATAATTATAATAAAAAATTGAATTTTCTCTGATACGGTTGTAAATCTTTTTAATTCTTTAACTTAATTATATATTTTTTATAAATAGAAACATCTTATCCTCCTTAGTCTAAAATATTATTAAAATTATCTAATAAAATATACACAAACCATTATCCAAAAAAGAAAACAAAATTTATAAGCTTATATTTAATAAATATTCCTTTATAATGAGTAACAGAGTTATATTCTGCTTTGATTTTAATATATTTTTGCCACAAAAATTACAAAATCTATCCAGATTATATTAAATATTCTTATCTATTCAACTGTAAATTATTTAAAAATAAGCATTTGCTACTTAGTTTTTTGATGATTTACTATTCAGTCTTATTACGTTGAAGTTTTATTTACCTCATTTATATATTTTTCTACTAAAATATCTCCAGAACAATTATGATAATATAATTATAGTTTCACCAACATACCTGTTGGTTTCTTTTTTTTAAATTAACAAATTTAGTATTTATCTGTTTATTTTTTTTTTGTTGTATTAATTAAAATTATCTCAGGATTTAAATTAGTTTTCTGTGCATTTTAGAATCTTTTATTCCTTTATATATAACTTCAGTTTTGCATACTATCTCATTATTTTTTTCATTCCAATTTAAGTGATAAAATTTTATTTAATTCAGCGATAATTAATCTTTAACATCTATTATGCTTAAGTTTAAATGGTTATCAATCAATAATAATCGATCATTTCATAATGTATTTGTTACAATATATCTCTAGATTCATTGTAATCTTAAACTATTTACTAATCAATAATTCTATCAATCAGTTGATTTCTTAAAATATTAATTTAAAATTTTAAAGATTATCAAATTCAACTTTATCATAAGAAATAATATTTTCTATGTTATCATTAATAATTTATAAAATTATCTTATTGTGTATTTTTAGAATATTCATTTTTTTTATTCCTCATCTGTTTTTCAAAATTAGTTAGTTTACTGAAATTTTTACTTTAAAGAAAGCCATTTAAGATTCAAAGGACATCTGTGATTTAATTTATTTTAAGAATAAATTAAAATTTATAATAAAATATGTTTTTTAATAAATTAAAAATATCTTGCTCTTAAGTGTAATAAATAAGTAAATGAATCTTTCTTTTTTCAAAATGATTAGCTGTTTAAATATATTTTTTTTTAAGTAAATATAGATTCTCTTTAAATTTCGATTGATCGACTTGAGAAAATGAAATTTCTTAATGATTAAGAGTAAATTTACTTAAACAGTAATAACCAAGAAAATCTACTTATGATAAAACTATATTCTATACTCTTTTAAGTAATGAGTATGACTAATAATTGAATTAGATAATTGGTTACAATAAAATTAATTTAAACTTATATGATGTAAAATAATTTATAGAATTGAGATAATTGATTTAATTAAGAGAGATAGTATAAATTGATTGATATTTTTATAGATAAAGTATAATAATAAGGGCAAGTTTTGTAGAAATAATGAAAATTAAAATAATTAATTTAATTATTGGATAATGATTTTTTTATAATAATCTTATTAATTATTTGACTAATAAATTTAAATCAAACAGCTTGACTTGGGTCTTCTTTAGCTGAATATAAATGAGGATGAATATTTGGTAAGACACCTCCATCAGCAATAGTTGTATTGACCATTAATTTGTTTAATTCATCATCATTTCTGATAGCTAAGAGAATATGTCTTGGATTAATTCTATTTTTTTTGTTATCTTTAGCAGCATTTCCAGCAAGTTCTAATACTTCAGCAGCCAAATATTCAAGGACAGCTGATAAATATACTGGAGCACCTGCACCAACTCTCTCTGTATATCTTCCTTATTTTAAATATCTTGAAACTCTTCCAACTGGGAATTATAAACCAGCTTTATGTGATCTAGATACTGATTTATGAGCTCCTGCTGCCTTTCCTCCTTTTCCTGCTTTTCCTTTTCCTCCTGATGACATTT